GAGCATGCGCAAGCGTTTTTGGCCAGGGCAGAGTGGTGAACTATTTTCTCATAAAAAACGCTCTTTAGACAGGGTAACTTACCCTGGGTGGCGGGGGGGGGTTATTTCCCAATGTAAAAAAAATAGGTATGTGCAGCTCTAAAGGGAAGGGATTTAGAGCATTTTTTTCTTTAAAACGGTTTGAGTCGTACTTGTTTTCATTTTGGAGTCCGATTTGGGTTTCAAAGGAATAAGTGAAGTGATAGAAAGTAAGTTTTGTAATTGAAGATTGCCGTGAATACAGCTAAAGGCACCATGGCACCCCCCCCCGCGGGGCTAGGCGGGGAAAGGGGGAAGAGCACCAGGGGCGGGGGCAGCGTTTTGGGCGGGGGGCTGGTGGTAAACTTTTTTCACAAAAAAAACCGTTTTCAGACAGGGTAACCTACCGGGGGGGGGGGGTGGGGTTACTTCCCCATGTAAACCATATAGGTATGTGCCGCTCCAAAGGGTAGGGTTTTTGCGCCTTTTTGGTCTGAAAACGGTTATAGGCTGTGCTCATTCTAATCTGGAATCAGGTATGGTTTTCAATGGAACTACGGAAGTGTACGAACGTAATTGTTTTAATCTAAGTAATGATGACATAATTTCTTAAATGCTACGTCTGAGGGTGGATATGGATTTTAGAGGCCAGGTCTGAGTGGGAGTTTTAATTGAAAGAGGGTCAGGATTTGGAGAAATGGTAGTTTAATTGCTGAAACCCTACTTGAGACCAGAAATTATGAGCTCACCGCCGAGAGGAGGTTAGACTGATGGAGTAAAAACTGCTCCCACAATCCCGTAGTCGTGTTCTACAACCTCGTCTCCAGGGCGCTTTTCCCTCAGGGAAAAGCGCCCTGGGGACGTGGCTGTCATGTTCTATTATGCCTGGCCCGTAGACTCACAGTCGAGTAGTCGACGAATACATAAATATAAGTGAGTAAAACGAGTGCCCCCGCAGTTCCGCACTCCGGCGGTTGATGTCAGTTAACTAGTGTGCTTATAAAACGAGGTATACTAGTGCTCTCGCAGTCCCGCAGTCCCACACTCCCGCCGTCGATGTCAGAATTTATTATGCAAATCAGACGACTGTGGGACAGCAGGAGGAGTTTTTTAAGTTAGATATTTAGTGGGCCGTGTATTCCTCAATCTAGCCTTCTTTTGTCACTACCTCGTCTTATTGACCCCTTTGCTATGAGTTCTTCCTGGCATAGGTTTCTGACTGTCTTGGTGAGATGAGATAAAACGCCGAATTGGTGCGGACCGTCCTAGAAAGGGGGTGATCCCTCACCGGGGCAGTCCTTTTCTCCTCGTTAGTTTTTACCTGTATTTTAGCCTAATTCGGACATAGCCTGCCTTGCGCGAGAACGCGATTGCCGTGCTGAGCGCGCTGGAAAGGAAAAAGAGAAATCCCTTCCTTGCTTCCAGGGGCGCCTATGTATTCGCATGCCTCTCAATGCCTCTCTTCTTCCTTACAACCTCGTCCTGAGGGCTTCCCGTCAGAAAATGGATGGGGTGCCTCCTGCTCCTCCCATTTTCTAGGGGAGAATCCCTAGGGACGAGGCTGTCCTCCCCAACACCTGTTTCACATAGGTAGAACCCTTGAGAGTCTTGGTACCCTCCACTGCCTCGAAGGCGCTAACATTCGCTCCCAAACTGAATAGAACAAAAACCCAGGGGACGATAAATTTAGTTATATTTTATGCCGCTCACTGAAATAGTATTTTTGTCAAAAAACCTTAATACTCTCGATCAGTAACCTGAAAAGCAGGCGTTATTTGTTCGCCTTTTTCAGGCGAGAGAAGGCAAGCGTGACGCGGACGTGGGCGGGCTGGTGTGAAGCGCCACACACGCGCGCGAAAAATAACGCTTGTTCGCACTGTCGCGTTCGAGGCCTTCTTTTTGCGCGAAGCGGGAACCTGGGGTCTAAAAAAGAATTCCAAGATGGCGGCTGTCAGGCATCAATGTGGTTTTTTGTGGTTCCTGCCGTGTTTCGAGTATTTCCAAGGTTTGTAGCCATTGTTTGTTTGAACTTTAAAGCTCGATCGTCCTTTTTATCGATGTACCACTTTTTTTTTGGAAGCTTACTTATTTTTTCCTTGGGGTTTCTACATTGTTTATGCTTCTTCATATTTTATATATCACAAGAGTACGAAATTAGGCTCATAATCTGTTGGTGTTTGTTCTTTAATTTTTCACTGGTGTAGAACGTTTCCTCCTCATATTTTGCGAAATTTCTTTAATGCTTTGCTTTAGGGAAACAAACTACCTAACTAGTCCATCGATCTCTAGGAACATATTGAACATTTAACCTGTATATTATATTAAGGGTTGGAAATGGTAAGATCATAATATTCAGGGCTGTTAGTAAGATTTTGAGTCGCTGGGAAAACACAGCTAGTAGAATAGCCGGGGAATCAAAGCTAGGGAGTACTTTTGGTTCTACTTTTCCTAGGAAAGTAGCCAGGGGAAATCCCCCCCTCCCCCAGCTTGTAACAACATCCCTGATATTTAACAATACTTGGAAGGTTCACTGGGGGATTTCTATCGGCAAGTAGTTGTTGAGAGCCTCGAGCTAACTAACAAGGCTGACAGAAATCAGAAGTGAGCATAATCTGGCAAGAAATAATTCTTTCACAATAACAATTATTACGGTGACAATGGGAATGATAACTGTGTAGGCAACTGTGTTATGATATAACTTTATTCCTATATGAAAACTTGGATTAACTGGGAATACACGTCACAAAAATATAAGTTTATTTAATGCTATGAAAGGAAAATAATAACATTATAAGTGTGATAATTATATAACTTTAATAATTATGTATAATTATGTTATAGGTTAAAATTAAATTTAGGTTAAAATTTTTTAACCTAGGTTGATTCTCAGTTTCCTTTGCCTCCTAGCTCTAATTCCTGAATAATTAGGGCTAGAAGAGAAAGAAAATAGAGAATCAACCTAGGTTTGATAAATTTTGACCTGAATTTAATTTTGACCTGTAACCAGTCCGGAATATCCCTAAATTTAAGGACAGGGCCAACTGGTCACACGCCACTTTTTAACCAATGAGATGGCGCGCTTGTGTTTATCAACAAACAAATCAAAACATCGCCCCAGTCATCAAAAAGTTTCAAAACAACGGACGGAGTCTGACAGAATTAAAGATGAGCTTACAGTACTCGTCTAGGTTTCACATTTAATATTTCAAAGAAAACATGTCATGTAAGAGAATAAGAGCATTAAACATTGCAAGGAATCATTGGGGTGTTCGAATTGATTCCGGACCGATCGCAGAGGTCGTGGCTTCACTGGCATCGCTTGCAAGATTTTTGATAGAAGCAAACTCGTCCCGTGTAAAAATAGCCTTTGAGAGAGTGTGAAATTTGTTGAGATCATACAAAACAGCATTGGTACTACCTATTAACTTCTACAGGACAGGAATCAAAGAACCAGTCATCATAACAAGAATAGAAAGTAGTTCAAATTTATTAATTTTTCTTGTTTGTTTTTTTGTGTTGTTTCGTGTTGACTTCACGCATCTGGTGCTTTCTTTGCTTGCTGTAGTACCTGCAATGTTTTAATTTTATCCCAGATAATCAGTGCATGTTCAATGAGTAGCGAAATACAGCATTTACAATTGAGATTTGCCTTGTTTCTCTGATTGTTTTTTAACGGCGGATGAACATTTGGAGAATCCAACAACATTAAATCTTTCCAGATTAGTGAATTTCAGAAACAAAGCGGTTAGTATCTACCTCGCGCTTATGATGTTCAATTTCATCCCCACAAATTCGGCAAAGTGAGGCGAGATGTTGGACGTGAATATCCATAAGACTAATAAAGTTGTTTTGGCCTTGAAAAGAAAAAAGGCAAAGGCTCGTACTAATGCGAAAAAAAGTAATAACACGGCTTTTGTGAGAAACCCGGGAGTGGAAAAAGTATGTGTTTTAGACCTCGGAATTCAAAAATTGTCTTCCAAAATTCTAGGTTGTCTACCATCCCCACATTCAACATGATAAAAGTTAATCGATATGACAATCGAGGAAAAATATCTAGAACTTCGTAAAAAATATGTGAATCGAAAAAATAATAGATACTTGTTCACCTACCTTGAAAGCCGACCAAAATCTCTCCTATACATCGCGTTGTTTAAAAGATAAAAGAAGAATAAGCCACAAAATGTGCTGAATATTTCACGAGACACATCCAATATGGCTTCCAATACGCTGTCCACTTAAAAAACTTTTGTATGCCTCATGAAAAGTCTTAAAAATATGCCTGAGAACCTCGAAACGATGACTGACTCTGTCCGACTCCGTCCGTTGTTTTGAAAATTTTTGATCACTGGGGCAATGTTTTGATTTGTTTGTTGATAAACACAAGCGTGCCTTCTCATTGGTTGAAAAGTGTCACGTGACCAGTTGGCCCTGTCCTTAAATTTAGGGATATTCCGGACTGGTAACACTGATATATATCCCTCCATGGCAAATATATACCGGCTAACATGGGCGGCTTTGTAAAACAAATTGGCCTTGACAAAATATTGCCTCGTTAGTGACTTGGGTATTACTTTTCCATGACCCATAGACAATGTACTGTATGAGGAAAGAAAAGAAAGAAAAAGAAGTCGTCAGAAAAAGTAACACATACAAACTGTTGATCATGACTGAAAACTGCACTATGATTTTTACCCAAGCAACATGTGGGCGGTCAGGATCAAAGCCCCTTATTTTATTCTTATAAAAGTCTCTGCAATGTTTTTTGAAGCAAGACAGGCTTAGGTCTTAAGTTCTAAGGTTCATAGGTATAAAGTAAGTGTCCTATCATGTTGTACACACAGTTGTGTTGCAATTCTCTGTTAAGTGGTTAACTCCTATACAGTACTCCTACAAGTGTTATTCTTTATAAAGTTATGTTAGTTTAAATTTATCTTTCATTCTTTTATTGATAGACTTGCATTTTGTATTATTGGGAGACATGGATGAAGAGGGATGGCATTGCCCCCTGGACAACATTAATTCAATCAGAAAACAAGATCAGCAAGAATAGTCAGCTGGAAGGCAAGGTAAACAAGAATATTTTATAGTGAAGTGGAACCTTGTTTTAATGAACCTCTATATAACGAAGTCCTTGGTATAACAAGCAAATTATATTCCTGGCCGAAGTATTTGTAAAACATATGAAAAGAACCTTGATATAGTGAAACCTTCTCATGGCAAATATTTTTATTGTCCATTGCTTAGCCCTTCATTACACCTGAGGTTCCACTGTAACACAGCTTAAATAGTGTACATGTACCATGTGTCATGTAGTCCCTTAAACACATTCACATTAGGTACTTTTCTTTTTCTTATTGTCCTTTCAACAATAATATGTTCTCCAATTCTAGTAGCATGCTGTTGGCATAAATATATTTTTAGTCAGTTAGTCACTTATTAGAAAATCAAATGGGTAGTCAGTCACTTATGCAGTGTGTATGTTGTAGTTCAATTTTTTTTAGTTCGAAATTTTTAAAGTGGTTTGATTATTGATTTGTATACCTGAATAGGTTTTTTTCAAATGTGTGACTTTTTCATTTTACTCAGATTGAGTAGCTCTCATTTTACTGATTAGGTTTAAGCCCTCATTTAACTGATTTAAGGTGATTTCCTAGTAAAAGAACCTAACATAGATTGTAGATGAAACTTGGTACCCTGATGTAACAAGTCAAGAAGATGATAAAAAGGTAATAAAAAGTGGGGGTCACCGTGCTGGTTTTGACGTCACAATGCTGACAAATACGGCTATTTTGGACCCTTTGACAAAAACCGCCTGCAGCCCAAAACTAGACAAAAAGGAAAGATTTTTTCAATGATGCATGTAGTATCGCACAGAATTTGACTTTAATGTATTGTTTATCCAATTACATACCAGAACAATGCCTTTTAATGCCCTTGTTTTTACTTTATGCTCCAAAGTAGAATTAAATTGGACATGCGCTATTCGACACATGTTAGCTCAATCCGTACAATTTAGTAAAATTGCCGAAAAACTGAACATAGATTTCTGCCAATTTTTTTCTCACTGAAAGGAAGCACTGTCCTTATTAAAATCATGAAATAAAAAATGGGGATCACTGTACTCGTTTTTTGCGGTAGAGCTGCAGAAAGTGCGTACCAAATGCATTTTCCTTGATTTTTGAGAGAGGACTGGGGCGTGTTTCAAAACAGAATGTATGTGAAAGGGGGAAGAAAGTATTAAAAAATCTGTTTTAACAAAATTTACATTGAGATACCACATTTAGGACACAATGTGATAAAGAAAGCATTTAAATGAAAATCAAAGTGAATAAGCACAAATTAAACATGCACTATCGAGGTTCTCTGTGAGGAAGTCGAACCCAGCAACACGCGTACTGCTTACGTTATACACATTTCCACCACATTGAGTCTCACCTCGGCAAGAAACAACCGCAAGCAAAAATTGCAATAGCGTTTCTCTTTGGTCAGCTTCATATTAATAATGTTACTTCACATGCTCTATTTTACGGAGGCCATCTTGTTATGCGCAGTAAGAGATGCGCAGTGCAAAACCAGGGAATCACCTTAAAATATTTTCCGGTGAAAATAATTAATACAAAATGATGTTGTTAAAATGTATCCTTGTGTGACAGAAATTGCAAACAATATTAAAGGAAGGTATTGTCCTAAAAATTTTCTACTTTGTTACACAAAAGAATATTTCAGAAGGCTTTTATGGTAAAAATACTTAAAAATACTTGAAGTCCCTGCTGTCATCAGGGTGAACAGTGTTCTTGAATTAGATAATGTGTTGCCAGAGGAAATAAATAATATTATAATTTTCAGCCATTAGACTTTTGCAGAGAACATCATGCAATGTTGAAGTTATGATATCATAGGCCTTGTGTAGTATATAGTGTGTCAAACTCTGTGTTCACTGCAGTGACTGACAAGCATTTGACCACATCTTTAATCTTTAATCTTGAATTATCATAATTATTGCCTATATCAAGCTAATCAGCAATGGACGGTCAGTTATGTACACGGATACTCATAATATTGACAGCAACGGTAAAAATACAGAAAATTTAATACTCACACTCACAAAATCTCACACCTGACAAAAAATAGCAAGTCAATTACATATGTACAGTTGTAACTCTTTAGTGAACCAACTACACATATGCTCAACATATAATGAAAAGATCATCAGTAAGGTAAACTTGCTACAAATACTTGAGTGAAATGCAGTAACAGAGTCAGCATTAACTAAACATAAGTAGGGGACAAAGCATTTCAAACTGTAACAATTCTGTTTTGATCATGAAAAATATTGTCAAATCGGGCATACTTCTACGTGTCATCTCAAGTTTGATATCATGGTATTAATACTACTGATATCTTTCTGTGTAAGGAGACCAGGCGGTGGAGCCATATTCACACACTGGACAGACCAGGGCCAAATAGGCTTGTTCCTTGACAACAGGGCTACAAGATGCCAATGTCCTTTTGTGTACACCTAGAATCTTGTTTGATTTCTTTTCACCTCTACCGTCTGCTTTGAGCAGTTAAGGGAGCTGGCAATGTAAATCTCTAAATTCTCGAATGTGACTCTCTCCAAGAATAAGGACTGTAACAAAGTGTGTTCAAGTACATGTACAGACTGTATGGTGATGGCTGATGCTGAAGGGTAATGGACATGGCGTTGCATTTGCTACGGGAAACGTTCTTTTGCCACATGGCCACCCATTGCTCAAGCTGAAATAGGTTTCGCTGAACCGTGTCATGGTCAGCCGAGGACTCAATTATTGTGGTGTAAAGCACATGGATTTCCCCCGGCTGCTAAGAGCGTGGCCCCCAGCTACTTTCATGGGAAAATAGATGAAAAATAGAACCATAAGAAATTCCTAGCTGTTTGATTCCCCTCCTACTCATTTACCCGGCAACTTGAAATTGTAGCAACAGCCCTTCACACAGTCATCTGCAAATAGTTTAACCTTTGATGATACAACAGAGGGTACAATGTCAATCATTGATACAGTAGAAGAAACATAATTAGCCCCAGAACTGTGCCCTGGGGTATACCAAATAGAATAGTTGACTAATTAGATGATGAACCATTCACCACTACACATTGTGTTCTACCATTTTGAAAAATCTGAAGCTAGTTATTTAGTTTCCCGGAAATGCCATAAAATATGGCTTTAAGGAGCAGCTTTTGGTGAGGAACAGTGTCGAAGGCCTTTGTGAAATCAAGGAAGATCATGTTGACTTGACCACAGATTTAAGAATGCTTGCTCTCTCATGAATGACGGTAATTAGTTGGGTCTTACATGAAAGTCCTCTTTGAAAGTTTTGGTGGTGCTGGGAGAGTACTGAATTTCTACAAAGGTAGTTCTGTTGGCCCTGACACTGTGGCTGGTGTAGATGTGGCAGATGCTTTTCATCAGGTTATCGATGTCCTGGATGCCCTTTGTATTTAAGTCCTGGCGGGCTGGGTCCTCTGTCCCTGTGCTTATTAAACGCCAGGTCAGTAAGAATAAGTCAGCGGTGCTTATGGACTACCTATGCGATTGCAAAGCTGACCTTTATGAAATAGAGGAAACTTGGCGTACGGAGGATGATGCTGCTGTAAGAGCGGAGTTGAACCTGGATAGGTATAATTTCTTAGACCACCCATGGGAGGGTCGGTGTGGTGGCGGAACGCGTCTCATCTTCCGTGACTCCTTGCGTGTTAAGAAAGTTGAAATGGGTGAGAAGAGCTCCTTTGAAATCTCTGAGTGGACTGTGACTACAGTCAGTAACTGTATTCGCTTGTTTATAATCTGTCGACCACCATACTCTGATAAACGCAAGGTCCCAACAACTGTCTTCTTTAGGGAATTTTCAGATTATCTCGAACCAGTTCTTTGGTCTAAAGAGCAAATTTTATTCGCTGGAGACTTAAACATCCACATCGATAATCCGCGTGACTCTGATGCCATAAAATTTGCAGATCTGCTTAAATCATTCGGGGTTCAACAGCACATGAAGGGTAGCACCCACAAGGAGGGCCAAACCCTCGACCTTATCTTCACCCATTGCTCTGAGATCGTTCTAGAAGCTCCACCTAAAGTTGACCGGTTTATTTCAGATCATGCGTCAGTCTGCTGCAGGTTGATTCCAGAGAAACCTCTAGCAGTGGAAAAGCTGGTTACTCACAGGAAATATCAATCAAGAGACATGGAGTCGTTTAAGAATGACTTGGTGACATCTTCTTTATGTCAACCACCTTTGACAATGGAAACACCTGTATATGGTGTTGACAAACTTGCAAAGTACTATAATGCTGATCGACTGTCATGCTCCACTGAAATCCGAGACTGTGAAGGCACACCCTTCTGTTCCCTGGTACACCACTGAAATAAAGGGTTGCTAAATGTCTTCAGAGAAAAGCCGAAAGGCGGTGGCGGAAAACTGGCAGACAAGAAGACCTTCATGCTTTTAAAGTGCAAAGAAATCGTGTAACTTACATGATGAATGCTGCAAAAAAGGACTTCTATACTAACTTTATTGCGGAGAATAGCATGGATCAAGGGTGACCAGGGTGACTAAGGTGACTTGAAAGACTAGGGTGACTACTTGGGTGACTAGTATAGGGTGACTACTAGGGTGACAAGGGTGACTAGTATGACTAGCGTGACTAGGATGACTAGGGTGACTAGAGTGACTACTAGGGTGACTAGTTGTTGCTGTAATATTATAAGCCTTGTTGTGTTATAAAATTTTATCTCTATATGCTTTTGCTGCAATACTGTCAAATGTTACAGTCATGCAAATAAAGCAATTTACTACTTCTACTAGGGTTCAACAAGAGTGACTAGGATGACTTGGGTGACTACTAGGGTGACTCAGTGAGTACGGTGACAAGGGTGACAAGAGTGACTACCAGCATGACTAGGGTGACTAGGGTTACTACAAGGGTGACCAGGGTGACTAGGGTCACTAGGGTGACTAGGATGACTACGAGGATGACTAGTGTGACTGGTATTACTAGGGTGACTAGGGTGACCTACGGTGACTACTAGGGTGATATGGGTGACCAGGATGACTAGTATGACTAGGATAACTAGGGTGACTAGGGTGTCTTGGATGAATAGTGTGACTATTGTGGCTAGGGGGACTAGGATGACTAGGGTGACTGGGATGACTGGTATTACTAGGGTGATTAGGATGACTTACTATGATGACTGGGATGAGAGGCTGAGGTGACAGGAATGATAGGAATGTCTAGGACAGTGGGATATAATAATGATGAAGGCTAAAATGACTGAGGTGACTACAATATTTTTTCAATGTGTTCTTTTCAATGGGTTCTTTTCAATAATGTGTGACTGATATAACAGTGTTAACTTAGATGACTAGATGATTGGGATGAATGCAATGAATAGGATGACTACAATAACTACGATGACTAGGATGATAACAAGGAGTAGGATGACTAGGATTACTGAGTGAAGTGAAGTTAAGTGACACCTTTGTTTAAAGAGAGTAAACAGGTGACGGTAATGATCTAAACTGATAAACTTTTGGCCTTTTATAAACTTAAAATCAATAACATATTAAAGTAATTTTATAATGTCATTATAGAAGATAAAACTTTACTAAAATATGAAAGCTGTAATAGACACAATAGGCGTTTTGCATTGGTTGATCATTTGATCAACTTTTGGTAAACATGAAAACAGTTCTCTTCTGAAAAATGTTTTTAGCAGGAACTGAAAGAGTATAATGCAAAAGGCCTATTAAAAACAAGCAAAAATAGTATTTAGAACCTATCTAGAGTCTTATTTCAAAAATTGTAACTATTTAAAAACATATTATTTAACTATTTAAAACAAGTAAAGTAAAATGAATATTTTACTGATTTTCCTCAGTCTTTTATTGACTTTATATAAAAGGCTACTTAACTATTTGAAACTTATATTTTAAATTTCCTGTCTCTCTTTGTTTAGTAATTACTAAATTAGATTAAACCCTGTAATTTGTGATGTGATATTTGGGTGATATTTGTAGTGTTAAGGCATAGTTGTAAGCTTGCTGTTTCCACATGAAGCTTATGTTGTAACCTTTTTCCGGTAACAAGTAATGCTTTGGTCTCCTCGGTATTGATGTACATTGTGTTTTCAGTTGACCGTTTCTCGATATTCTCCAAATCATTAGAAAGAGCTTTAGTTAAACAAGTGATATCGTTCCAGTTTGCACTCAAGGACAGGGTGGTATCGCAAGCGTATATATATCAATGGTGGAGTTGTTCAAATTTAAAGGCATATCATTCACAAGTAGGAGAAATAAAACTGGACCAAGGATTGATCCCTGCAGTACCCCTTGCCAGATGACAGATTTTGGCTTTGGATGTTATATGCCCTATTTTCACAAACTGTCGTCACCCATCTAGATACAATTGAAACCATGCCACGCTGTCTTGGCTGGCACTGTACACTGATAATTTCTTCAGTGATAGATTGTGATCGATTACATCGAAAGCTTTATAGAAATCAACAAATAGTTAATACTAGTCCCTTCATTATCCATTGTAAACAAAATTTTTTCCATGATTCTTGTAAGTGCCGTTTTAGTGGAATTACCAGAATAGAAGGCTGATTGTAATAATTATTATTCATATAGCAAATTGTTCCTCTTGAAGACATTTTAATAGCGACTTTGCTACATATTTTCGAGGTTTTTAGATAGGATTGACAGCACTGATATGGGGCGATAGTTATTTCTAAGAAGATAGTGATAACTTGGATGACTAAGATAACAAGCATGACTAGGATAATAAGAATGCGGTCAGTATAAAAGGAGGACTGCGGACTGCGGACTGCGGACCATGGACTGTGGACTGGGTATAAAACATGGACTAGGTATAAAATGGGGACTAGAAACCACAGGCTGAGTATAAAACATGGACTAGGTATAAAACACAGACAACTGACTGTGTATATATTATGTACAGCTTTAGAAAGGTAACTGAGAGAAACGGATAGCTGACTAGCATAAAACAGTAGTCCCAGCTCCTTGCCTCACACACAAACATTTCTTTGGCTGCTCATACAGTCTATTTTAATTCTTCTCAACGTCAGTGTGGAGAAGGAAAGCATACTGCACGGGCAAGGGAGGTTATGCCGCTACTCAAGGCACCTGAAAATGAAACTTTGAATTTTATAAAAAGGAGGAGTTAGAAGAGAATTCAATTTACAGTTTTAAACCAATAGAAGATGTGAAACTGTGAACCAGCGCATGAAAAAAGTAGTATTGGTGTTAGTGAGAGTAAACTTCTTATAGATGCCACAACTCCATTTCAAAGCCTTAGGGGATATGAGGAAATCAAGAACCCAGACAAGAAGGTCAATATAGGGGCATTCTGTGATGCAAAAAAGTTGTTTTTAGGGGGTAGGGGTTACTGTATATATGTGAATAATAGGCCTTATCACGGTTCTTGACTCCATCTTGATGAGTAGGCCAACGCGTGAGAAATTACAGTGTTTGTATGGGAATCTAATGTCGAATAATTTCCGTAAAACGGCTGTTATGAAAAAAGTATTATGAACTTTAAACTAAAGCTACACAGCAAAGGATTTTACTATAAAATTTGCGGGGCCATTACTCTACTTAAATTTCTCCAGACGCTTGCTTTAGATTTTACATATATTTGTCTGCAATTTTTCCTGGGAAAATTTCACAGGCAAATGTATAGAAAATTTTATAACATGGTCCTAGCGCATGTAGCTTCATGTAACGACCTTGCATTTTTTAAGTAGAATCATTAGGAGTGAAGCTTTAGTTTACAATTCATATTTTTTTAAGAACAGCTGTTTTACGGAAATTATTCTACATTAGATTCTCATACAAACACTGTAATGTCTCACGTGGTTACCTACTCAACAAAACCGTGATAAAGCCTATAACCTGAAATATAATATCCAACATCATATTCTAAGCAATGATGACATGATTCACACCTATGTAAACAGGATGACTAGGGGTAATTGGGATGACAAGGATAACTGCTATTACTGGGATCACTGTGATAACTGTGATGGCTCGGGTGATTGAGATGACTAGGGTGGTTGATAACAAGAATGACTGGGATAAAATGACTGGGACAACTGGGATGACAATAAGGATAACTTAGATTACTAGGATGACTGGGATGACTAGGATGACTTGGATGACCAGGGATGACTGGTGTGAATTGGTTGGTTAGGATGACTGGGATGACTGTGATGAATGAAATGTAGTAGCTGAAGTGGGGCACAATATATTTTATTATGCAAATGTAGGGTGCTGTTGTTAGCGTAAAACTATTTTTTAAACAAGATAGTAGTAGTAGATAGATAGTAACTTGTTGGTGTAATAAATGACAACCAATTTATGATTTTTACAACTTCCTGTTATGTCATTTCATAAACAGTTTTTATGTTTAAGCTTACAATGTAACCTCTCCTTTAATCAAGTAACCTGAAAAAGATTTGGGCTTTAACGATCTGGGGAGGAGGATTTGGAAAATTGTGCATAGCTCTTTCTTTAAATTAATGTCCTAGCTCTGCCCCTGTGTTTTATTGCTGAAGGGTATTAATGTTTCCTTGAAAGGCAAGAGTTAATTCTCCACCATAGAGATAATGGTTTAAGAACAAGCAATGTGTGGATTTGGTCATTAGACATAAAGCAGATTTTATTCATGTTCATAATGTGTTTATAGATTGCAAGGAGTGTTGAGATTTATAACAAGAAGTGGCAAGTCTCAAGTTTATGTGTTGATAAAAATGGTTTGTTTCATTTTTTTCAGGCAGAAAACAGGCAACAAATGAGGCAAGCTGGTCAGAGATTAATAAAAATGGACTGCATTCTTTGGAGGAGAGTCTGGATTTAGAGGACAACAGCATCACACTTTAGGAATTAGATCTGGTTAGGTATGTAGGAATAATTTATTATTTGTAGCTACCTTACTTCATTACAGAGACTTGGTTTTATGTCACACTGTCTATGACTCAGTGCTTTTCATTGTCAGAACTGACTGGCCAGACCATTCCCACTGCGATGAGAATTTCACTTTTAATCAAACTATTCAGTCAGATAAGTCAAATGCCAAATACAGTCAATTCTCCTTCTAGCGGACACTGCAGGGACCTCAAGTTAGTGTCTTCATTACCGAGAGTCTGTAAAAGCAAAAGTTTATTTCAGGTAAAACATCTGTAATTAATTTTTGCCTGTGATTTTGCTGC